ACCCGAAAATCCCCAGGTGCTGATGCCAGCAGCAGCTGTGTTAGCCTGGCTGTGAGTCAGTGGGAGCGGCTGGCCCGAGGAGGATCCCGGGAGCCTCGGGCTCTGTGCCAGCTGCACTGTGTCTCGGTGTCCACTCCCGTCTCTCAGTGATTGACCCGCTCTCACGGGGCTAGCCAGACCCCGCTGGGGGAACGCGCAGGCCTGTCTGGGAACCCCCCTCCCCGCGTGGCAAGGCCTGCAGAGCCAGGGCCCATGCCAGCGGGGTCAGGCTGCCCCGGCCAGAGGCGAGCGTAGGCTGGGCATTGCTCACGTGCACAGGGGCTGGGCATGGGCTGCACCTGCCTTCGTGCGTTTGGAAGAGCCAGTGCCCTGCCCCAACGCGTCCTTCAGATGCCACAACGGGCCCCAGGCTGCAGAAACGCTCGGGAGCGGTTCAGCCACTGAGCGTCTGTCCGCTCCCAGCGGGGTTCCCAACAGGCCAGGGCGGGACAGGGAGGAGAATCCCGGATCGAGCTGGAATCGCAGGGGTCTGAGGGCGGGGGGATGGAATTCCCCCCGGAGGTGAGTCTGGGCAGGAGACCGGCTGGGGCCCTGGGAGAAGGGCTAAGAACATAAGAATGGCCATACTGGGTCAGACCAAAGGTCCATCTAGCCGAGGGATTTCTAGGGGCCAGAGGTGGCTCCGCTGGGAGTTTTACATCGCTGGAGCATGGACGGCCGCTCCGGACTGGCACGTTCTCAGGGGAGAGGAGCCTCCCTGTGGTTTCAGAGATGCAAAGCCAGGAGGGACCCTTGTGCCCATCTGGTCTGGCCTGCATAGCCCAACCATGGAACCGCCCTGGGCAGATTCCTGGGCTGTTTGGGCCAAGTCTTGAAACGTTTTTCTCAAAAGGCTTTGCCATCCTTGCTGGCCCGGGGCACCTCGTGTAAGGACTTGGGGGCGGGCACCACCCTGGCTGGCAGTGTGCAGGATTCCCAGCCGGGTGCCCAGTGAACCAGCCAGGGGCCGAAGTATCTCACTGTGGAATTTGGCTCCCCCTTACAGCCCGTTTGCCATCTGGGCTCTGTGTCCCGGGAAGGCGGATTCCCAGCACAGAGGGCGAGCAAGAGAAGGGAAATAATACCCCTTCTGCTGCCCCTGCCCTCGAGCCCAGGGAGCTGGCGCTGGGCCTGATGCCCAGGTGCTGGAACTAGGGGTGCTGGGGGTGCACCCCCTGGCTCAAAGTGGTTTCCATCACACACAGGGTTTACAGTTTGGTTCAATGGCTCTCACCACCCGCACTATAGAAATTGTTCCAGGGCCATTGGCCTGATGTGCTGAGGTACCCATGGCCTGCGGCTGCAGGTGGTGCCTTGAAGCAGCCCCCCAAGCCTGCCGCCCTCCCCCCAGCTACTCCCTGGGCTGTGGAGTTTGCAGGTGCCCAGGTTGGGAGAAGCGCCTGCGGCATGGAACGTCTCCGCCATTGCTTTGCAAAGCACCTGGGGGGTCTAAAGGTGCCTGGCGCTTAGTGCTGGGAAGGGATTCCTGGGGCGGGGGGCTCCCATGGGATGAGCTCAGCGTGTGTGCAGAGCAGTGATTCAAGGAGGAAGAGTGTTCTTCATTCGGTTAGTAACTTCCTCCCCGTCACTCTTGCAGCCTGTGGTGTGAGATGAAGCAACCGGCCCCATTTCTCATCCCTGGGTTCCCAGACTGTGTTTGGAGGGGGAGGAGGGCTCCTTGCCAGGTGCAGCCGGCACTGGCCTGCTCTCTGCCATCGCCCCACTGCTGGGGAGAGCTGCCATGTCTCTCAGCTGCGTGGAAAACCACGACTCCTGCAGCGATCCTGGCTCATCTGCACACAAGGATGGGATCTTTGGCTTGCAGGTGTCGGACACCTGCTGCCAACGGTCCCCCCGGCCCTTAAAGCGGGAGGGATAGTTCCCGGGGGCTGTGTGTGGCTGGTGCGTAATGAACTCTTGGACCCGTTCCTCTCCACCCCCCGGCCCCCTGGCAGTGCCCTGTGTCGGCCAGGGCCTGGCACAGGTGTAAGCGACTGGACCTTGCGGGGTGAGGCTCAAACCCATCAGCCGAGATGGGGGGCTGCGGGAACAGCTCAGCTCACCCTAGGGCTGCTGGGGGAAAGGCAGGAAAATCCCTCAGGCCGCAGCTGGGCCGCACCCGCCCGAGCCCGACCCAGGCCTGAGGAGGAGGATGGGGCCTGCAGAGATTTTCCTTGTGGAGAGTGACCCAGCTGGGAGCCTTCTGTCACAAAGTCCCGGGCGATGCTCTGGAACGGCTCCCTACGAAGCCAGGCAGGACTCTGGGGAAGTCTCCTCTCTGGGAGCAGACTGTCTTCAGGGCAAGAAGCTCAGACGGCTTCACCTTCCTGGGTCTGACCTTGGCGCATTCAGCATATGCCCCTCCGTGCGCTTCCCACAGCGAGTCCGCCCAGGCGGGGTCCTGGGGAAGCCAGAGGGTCCTGCACCCCCACTTCGCAGTCAGACGTGACTCTCAGCCAGCCAGTAAAACAGAGGTTTATTAGATGACAGGAACACGGTCTAAAACTGAGCTTGTAGGTACAGAGAACCGGATCCCGCAACAGGGTCCATTTCGGGGCGGGGAGTGAGCCAGACACCCATGTCTGCACTCACTCCACATCCCCAGTCAGTCCCAAACTGAAATTCTCCAGCCCCTCCTCCTCTGGGCTTTGTTCCTTTCCCAGGCCAGGGGGTCACCTGATTCCTTTGTTCTCCAACACCTTTAGCTATCACCTTGCAGGGGGAAGGGGCCCCGGCCATTAGTTGCCAGGGAGACAGAGTATCAGCCATTTATGCACACTGGCCTTTATCCCACCACCTAGAGACTTAAGAAATGCATAGGGGAAACTGAGGCACCCCTACAGTATTCAGAGGAAACATTAAGAACAGTCCCACTTCGTCACACCTTCAGCTTAGGGCAGGGCCAGCTCCAGGGCAGCTGGGGCGTGGGCCCCCACTCTCAAGGCGGGAGGGAGCGAGGGACCCTCACCGCAGCTGGCAGACTGTCTCACACAACTGGCCTGCGGCCTGTGAGGCCACAAGATCTCTCTGGGGCCAGTAGCCCAGAGGGGTTCCCTGAGGTACCAAGAACAGCCAGCGCCAAACCGTCCTGCCTGGGGCGCGAGCCAGCCTTTCCCCACGGCGCAGGAGGGAGCTGCCCTGGCCGGGCTCCCCAGGGGAGGGGGGCCTTGCACCAGCCTCACAGGCAGCTGCCACTGGCCCCTCTTGGTGAGAGGGCAGCAGACGGACGGTCCCTGGGCTGCTCCAGCCTGGCCACCCTGATGCTCCAAAGTCCTGATCAGTGGGGCCTGAGCTGCCTCTCGGCCACCACCTTCCTTTCCCTCCTTTGCCCTGTTTGCTTTCCCCTCCGTCACTCGGTTCCCACCAAGTGTAAACAGCGACCCGCGGGCGAGGCGTCTGCCCCCTTGGCCAGGGTGGAGGGAGGGCCGTGACGCGCTGTGCAGCCGGCGGGGCAGGGAGTGGGGCTGGGGGATCAGTCGTTACACGTGGGAAAGACCCACGGAGCCTTGCGCCGAGGCAGCATCTGGGCCACGTGCTGGGCTGACCTCTGGCTCTGCGCCAGGAGGGCACGCTCGCTGGGGCCGGAGCCTACCTGAGTCTGTGCTGATGAAACGACACGTGGGGAAAAGTGACCTGCGAGAAAAGGGGTAATCTCTGCCCCTTCCCCCAGGCGCCGGCCAGCCTGTCCCTGCGCGGGCTTGAGGGGAGACTCCTGCAGAGCAGACCCAAGGGGGTCGGCGGCAAAGGACTGTGGGAGCCGTGCCCTGGTGCTCTGCACTGGTGCAGTGCACGTGTGGGCAGCTCCCTTCCCTGTACCACAAGCACCATAGTCGGCCATGCCTGGGCACCCTGGGCACGCTGCTCCACCTGACCGTGCCCCCCACCTCTCCCATAGGGCACAAGAGACAGCTGGTCCTGGCTGTGGTCGAGGCAGGGGGCTGGGCTGGACGACCCATGGGGAGCTGGACGGGCATCCTGAGGGCCTAGAAGTCAAAATGTTCTTACGGAATAGGTCACTGGGGGACCGGTATCTGGAGCCCCCTGCATCAAATTACCCCAAACTTGCCCCACAAGCTGCACCCTTCGTGCTGCCCTGACAGGCCAGTTTTCGGGTGGATCTGACTATGCACGTGGGTCTATGAGGTCTTTGCAGGTTCCACTCACAGCAGTGCCATTGCAGCGCTAACTTGGGTGTCTCCCCACTTCAGGGGTGGGTCTCTTCTCTGCTCGTTCTACCCCCGCGGAGCTGGGCCAAGGAACAGACACCTGGCCCCAGTCCAGCCCTGAATTCATGCAGGGCCTGGGGGCGGAGCTGTCGCCCCAAACCCATTGGGGGAACCAGGTTCGGGCAGCAAAAGTTTGTGATGACTTTCAGAGGCCAGGAGCGTCCCAGCGCCGAAGCCTGGGGAGGAGGCCCCGGTGTGCCGCTTGCCAGCTGGGCGGCCCGGCACCGCATTGGCACGGAG